TCATTAACTCTGTTTTTAGAAGTTACATGATTACATTTTTATCATTAACTCTATTTCTAGAAGTTTGTTGTTCTCTATCCTATTATACCTTAATTTCCGTAGTTATGATTAACCTTGAATCTCTATGTGTACATAACACCATCTCACTCTCTCCAAAAACTGGGTGTGTTACTGAATCTCTCATGTTCTTACTCCTCCTGTATAATTTATCTCTTCTTAAAACTGCCATTACTCTTCCTACTTGCTTGACTGCTTTGCTCTTAACTCTTATTCCTGTTCCCCTCCCTCCCCAGAGTTATTTGCTGCATGTGGCATCTTCTTCCAAGCACCTCTGGGTCCTGAGGTCAGTTGCTTTTAAATCCTCCTGGGCTTTCCTTGGAGTTTCTCATGGTTCTCCTCGAGACAGTTGTGGCTGGTCTTCTCCCTCGCAATCTCTCTCTTAGTCTGCATACATCTTCCAAAGTTACTGGAAGTCTCCTCTGCTTTGGAGATTCTTCTTAGCTTCATCTTGGCATTTCTTCCTTCCCAAGTCTCTGGGTAGTCATTACGATTCTCCACTGGCTCTGACAAAGGGCAGGAAAATAAAATACTGCCCTCTTTTGTCTCCAAGTTTCTTCTCACCCAGACTACCCCCCCCGGCCCCCTTGGGGTGAAGTTTGCTGAGGTGCCCACCATTGCTTTTCAACCTCCAACACAGACACACCTTTCCTTTGCAATGTCTTGTTCCCCCTGAGTCTCCCTCTTGCACATGCCCGCCACACTCCTCCCCCTCCTGGTTTCAGTGAGAGCTTTGCCAGGTCTCTCTTTGCCTTGGATACCTTCTTGTCTCACATCTTCTGCTTTCCCTTCTGGTCATTTCCTGGGCGTTCAGGTGTTAAACTTATTTGGGCTTCATACTACTTGTCTTCTTCTTTCTTCTCTCTGTTCTACTCCTTTTTCCTTTTCTTCCTCTAGACCATCAGCAAGCCATTCCACATCCTTCTCTTTTCTCCAACAAATAACTACACCACTACACATTCTCAGTTCTTTTAATACTTATCAGCCACACTTCTTATCTTCCAGAAAGGTAATTACGTAGGTGCAGCTGGACATGCTCTTTATGAGAGGGATGCCTCCAGCAGGCTGATGACCTTGGTCAGAGACAGGCTGAAGCTGTCCTTTCAGATCACAAATCCCTCCTGAAAACGTGGCTTAGGAAGTAGTCATCTCAGCTTTGGGACAGAGAGGAAGAGGCAAGTTTACAAGAGGATAGCAGGGAAGGGAAAAGAGAGAGAGGAACAGAATGGGAAGTTTCAGTCCTGGAGAAGCAGCCCATATTCAGCAGGGAGAATGTGGGTGGCAGCAGCAGGGCAGAACTTCCTCCTGAGTGTCAGAGGGGAAGATGCTGCTTAGCCAGGGGCCGTTCCCAAGGACATTCTTCCCGTCCAGCTTCACTGGCACAAGTTCCAGAAAGGGCTTGGTGATCTCAGGTCTGGGCTGGGGAAGAAAGATTTTAGAGGGAACGCCTCCTCGGAGGCTGAACTGTGGATTGCACTGGGCAACTGGGGTCAGTCTTAGGATTCAGAGGAGTCAGTGTTGCGAACGCATCTGCTTCTAACATTCACTTTTGAATTACAAAAATCTAAGGGCAGACATAAAGCACGTAACGTGCATTCCTGCTGCAGCATTTGCCTGTGTAAAATTCATCAGGCCTGGGCATTCATCAGGCCTGTGAAGCGGTTGCATTGTGTGTAAGATTTTGATTGTACTCTCCCATGTGTTATGTTTATAGTTTTTAATGGTTCTGGTGGTAATTGTTTTGGTAATTGTTTTTTGTTTCTGTATTTTAATTGTGTGAGCCACCCAGAGTCATGTATATGAGATGGGTTGTTACATAAATTCAATAGATAAATAAATGCAGGTCCTTAGTTGGCTGGAAAGTTTTGTTGCATTTGCTTTTGTGTGACACTGTTATTCTTAACCCCACAAATGTAAGGAAAAGAGCTGAGCTCCGCCCCCTGCTTCTAGGGACTATAAACAGCCACCACTTGCTTCTTAGTTATTCAGAAAAGTCTTCTTCCATAGGAGAAACTGGGCTGTCTCTACAGTGTAGTAGTGGAATCCCTCCCCTACTCATCATCTGGACAAGATAACTTGGTGGGAGCTACAAGGTCTGCGATGGTGTTAGGACGGAAGTTGCCAGGTGTCTTTCCTACATTGCTTATTCTGCTCTTTGTTGTGAACATTTTGTTTGTGATGCACGTGAAACGTGAAATGCAAAACCTAAGGAGGGTACGCAGTGGACATTTAGAGCAACGTTCTTTGGATTCTGCAGGAGAAAATGTCCTTGTTGAACATCTAGAAAAAATAGAGATGATGTTCCACAATATATGTAAGTAAGAAAAGTTGCCACTTCTAGTGGGGCATTAGAGTAATAGGATCTTGTTTTCTGGGTGCTTAACAGTGTCCAACATGAGAGTATTGTAACAATGTGCAGAGGGTTCAGAACTTCATTGTTCTGCATACCATGCGTTCTGCTGCTTCAAAACTTCAAAACTCTGTCATTTTCCTCTGACTGATCTTTTCTGGCCTTTTCAGGAAAAGTAATTTGAAACAAAGCAGACCAGAGAGAAACAATTTTGCCTAATATATGAAATAGATTAAATAGTAAACCTCTCTCTCCCCCCCCCACCCCCAGTTACTATTCATAAGGAATAATCTGCACATATTGTGGAGTTAAAACAATTGTTTAACAAGTGTTATATTTCATCACTGCAATTTTTGAAATTTCAGTAATGAATGTGAAATCTAGTTTCTAAATCCAACAATTTATAATTGTTGGCATCTCTTTGTAATTCTACAACTAAATATTGCAACATGCCGTCTACTGCCACCTATCAAATATAAAAGTAGTCAACTACTAAATTCTCTTGAACGCTGGGCACAAAGCCATGCCATTTACGAAATACTCCTAGGGTGCAAAGGATGAATGTTTCTTAAACAGATCTTTGCTCCAAAGAGCTTATGAAGTGGAGGAAGGGAAGGCAAAGGGAAGAGTAAAGGATTCTCAGAACAGCAACTTATAACCCAAGCCTGCGGGCACCTTGCACACCCAGTACCTACCAGGTCCCATGCCTCTCCTGATTTTACTGAATTATTTTAAGATGCTTTTATAAGCATGGGAAGCTAAGATGCTACAAGGATGCTTCTGCAACTGAGGCCTGGAGGCATTCTCAGACAATAAAAATGCCCATAGAATATCACTAATGCATTGCCTAGAAGTGGCCCTGGCATCTTCTCAGGATTCCAGGTTGCCTGTCGGCCCTAAAAAGCTGCGGACACTTGCATTATGGTAAGGTGTTGGGGTAATCACTTTATAAAGAAGGCAAAAAATAAAAGCGTTTATAAAATGAAATATGCGGCTAAAAGTGCACCATTCTGAGTGTTGGCTTAACCAGTGTGCTTTTTAATTATCCTGATTTTTTATTTTAAACAACCATGTTTTTTAAAAATTACTTTCAGCATTACAAAAGAGATCTAACAAGAGAGCAGCAGAACCCTGAATATGTCCACTCAAAATAAGCCCCATCTCATTTCTAAGATCTTGTGATGATTTTGTGTTCTTGCCCCAAATTCTACAGGGTTTTTGGGCATTCTTGCAAGAGAAATGTTACTTAAAAACAAATTGGTGTGTTCTGTAAGCACCATTTAAAACTGCACAAAGCCATAGTTTGATTCATCGTAGTTTACTGAGTAAACAGCAGTTGGCATGCTTAAGTCATGGTTTACAAATTCAGCGCCAGATTCACATTCCCTGCTAAGCCAAAAGTAGTGTTTTACTATTTTACTTTTAGACCATTCTTCCTCAGGGAGGCACTGGAAGCAAGTTATACGGGGGAGGGGGACCCCTTGAATAAAACCACTGCGTTGAAACTGGCAAGGCTCAAAAGCAGTAAGTGCAACGGTTGAAAGGAAGGTAGTCCAAAAGCAACATAAACCCAAGGCATGTCCTCCGCCCTCTGTTTTCTGGAAGGAGACTCCTCTGGCCCAGCCAAACGCCCCTCGGGTGCTGAGCGCCCTCTGACTCCTCCTCGGTGCAATGACGCCCCCTGGCGCCCACGAGTCCTCCCTCCACGGGCGCTCGGCAATGGGGAGGGGGGGCGGAGGAAGGGCCTAAGGGATCCCTTAAGGCCTTATTGGGCAAAGGCAATTTGGACCTTCCTCAGCAGTTTGGACTTGGTTCTTATAGCTTTTAAGAATCATTGGCAATGCTTTCCTTCCCATTTAAAAAATGTTGCTCTCGCATTTGAAAATTTTAAATTACTTCTTTAGTCTTATTATTGGGCTATGTAGGTAAATCTTATTCCTCTTTCAGAGTTAGGGTTAGGGTTTAAATAATGGTCTAGACCGCTCTGAGATGTTTTGTTTTGCATCTGTAATTGGTTTACTGCCCACCTACATAAATTATTGTTTATAGTTGTTACTGTTGTTAAATAAATTGTTACAACTTGGTACTGTAAATCATTAATTATAATTTCTAATTTATTTAACTTTTAAATTCAAATATTCAAAATAAGATAGCAAACAAATTTCATTCAAGCAAAATGTATTCATCGTTCTCATAAATGTACAGGTATTTGATATATGAAATTATATTAAAATAATGTACAGTATTTCTTACTTTTCATTTTGACTTCTAATGGGACATTTTTGCTTGATGACCTTTAGCCAGAGCTTGAATCTCAACCCTTCAAGCTGAAGGGGTCAGGTGAAGATCTTTATGCGACATCCAAGTGATTTTTTTTCCTTGTGGTCGCAGTAAAACCTGATTCAACCCGACACAAAGCTGGGAACGCCAGAAATATTAATGGGATTTTGCTCCACAATTATGAATAGGTGAAGAGCCTGTTGTTCAGCCAGAGCTGAAAATACCCACCTTGATCAAAATTGCCGTGGCATTCATCGTCATGACCCATTTCCAGTATTTCCTCCTCCCTGTAGTCTTGACCTCTCACTCCGTCATGGCTGACTCCATGCCCTCCAGTCCTGCCTCCCCTGTTGGCACGCTAGAGTTAGGGTTATGTAGTACCTTCCCGCTGCCACAACCCGTCTTCCTGGAGAAAGGAAATACCTCAGTGAGGCTCCCCTCCTTAGCACTGGCTTGTGAGGGTGCAGAAGCTCTTGCTGCTGGAGGTAAAGGTAAAAATCTGGTCCTAGTAGCTTTGAGGCAGCCCTGCTTCCCTTTGAGGAGTTGCAAGAAAAGCACCAGTCTTATGATTTAAAAATCAGTTTTGTAAAAATAAGAAAAAGGAAAAAGGAAAATACTTCAACCTCCATCTTTAACTTCTATAGTCTCACAAAGAAAACCACTGCCTGCATGATTCTGATCTTTGTAGATACAAGTAGTCCTTGATTAATGACAGTAATTGGAATTGGAATTTCTGTCACTAAGAGATATGGTCGTAAAGTGCGACATCACATGACCGCATCGTTTAGTGATGGCAATCCTGGCAGTCCCTGTTGTTGTTGTTAAGCGAGGACCTCTTTGTAACTTCCTGCCGACTTCCAATAGCCAAAGTCAGTGGGGAAGCCACAAGAAGTTGCAAGTCCCAGGTGGCTCGCAAGCATTTTCAGCTGCCAGCCTTTCACGAGAAGACTAAAGTGATACTTTATAGAGATAAGTATTGTAGAAGAATCTTGTCAGACTGACTCCCTTCCTCTTACATGCCAGGGAATCAGGAAGAGCTAATCTAAGGCACTTCCTAATACTTTCCCTTTTCCCTGGGCTCGAAACATGCTTTTATAACTGTTTCTGAATAGTTTCTCCAAGACCATCTCCATGGCTCCCTACACCAGCAATCAAAGTAGCGTCATCATCATAGTGCAGGTTTTTGATGTTTCTTTCTCAAATTTTAAAACCACACTCATCTTCTTCCCATCCAGATTCCCTCAATATATATGCAGAAGTATGGCTTAAAACAAAGTCACCCGAATGAACATCCCGGGCTAGAACTTTTCCTTTAGGTTGGAGAGACAGGATTCCCACTGCTTGTTCTTTCTGGCTTCTGTAGGTCCAACCTTCAATCAAAGTCATGGAGCAACACTTTCATTCCTTTCGACTCTTAGAGACTTCTGGGCCATAATTCAGCACCTTACCTTGCCTCCAGCCCCAGGGTCACTTATTTCTGCTCTTAGTGCAGGCCCTGGGCTGGTCCCACATGGTTAACCTGGCAGTACCAGCCACCTGCTTTACCCTATCTCTGCTTCTCCTGGAAACCAACTGACCAAAACCATGTGGCAGTGTCCGGTCTCCATCTTGCCTCCATTTTCCATTAATCTTCCCTTCACTCTCCCAGGTGCTCCTCTGTAGAGGGGCACAGAGATGACCTTGGACAGCCATTAGTAAAGCATGAGATTAACTGTTACTAAAGATGCTCCTGGTCTTTATGTTATGAGGCATGCTGGAGAGATACTCCTTCCTCCCTGCTTCCCTTTTTGAGTACTGATTTTGTGTATTGGGTCTCTGGCAGAATGGGGCGAGGGGGCATCAGCCTGTGGTGATATGGGTGGGGCTTGCCCCTTCCCTACACACACACTTACTGGGAATGGATTCATCATCCCCCGCATCACCCCATGAATGCATTAAATCACTGAAGTGAATCATCATGTCAACCCTCAGGGCGTGTAAGCTGTCTCCAAGTCAAGGTCAGCCATTTTAAGCTCACAGGCATTATATTGGACTGCAGCTCTCGGCAGATTTGCTGGAATAGTTTTCTAAGAGATTCTTCTATAATGGCACTTCTCTAGTTTTGCCATTACTTCAAGAAAATGTTACTGATCTAGAAGTTATTTTTAATCTTTTCAGTGTTAGAAGCTTCTTGTCCTATCCATGAGTCAACATATTTATTTAAAATAACTTCCTTTGCAGAGTTTAGATTCTTCTTTATCCCTATTTTCCCCCCCTTTTTTCAAGGGAGGTTTGCTGTCTGGTGAGTTGCTTAAATTTTACGTTTGTCCTGGTAATCTCCCTAAGCGATAGCAACACTGGGAGCCTTTCTCTTTCTGAAACTCGAGCATAGATCTTCAAGACAGCTATAGGGCAGTTAATTGCCGTGCCATCATCCACCAACCCTAACCCTAACCCTGATGCTGGGAAAGATGGAAGGCCAAAGGAGAAGAGGACGGCAGAGGATGAGATGGTTAGATAACATCGCTGAAGCAACGAGCATGATGCGGAGCCAACTCAGGGAGGCAGTGAAGGACAGGAAGGCCTGGCACGATGGTTCATGGGATCACGAAGAGTTGGACACGACTTAACGAGTGAACAACAACAAGGCGATTTTGTATTGTGTTCTTCTCAAAGTTTAGATGAAATGTCCGGGATAAAACTAATCAGTTTCCAGAATAAGAGCTCTAAGATTTTTTTCCACCGTTCTTTTGTGCCAGCCTTTTGAGTTCAGGAATTTCCAAAAAGAAAATGTCTTCACTTCTTAGTGTGGAGGCTAAACATACAGAAATTGCCTTACCTTGGTGTGTGGGGCCACACATAACCTTTTGAGGAGACAGAGGCGAAGCAGGCAGCCCTTGTATTGGAGAGATCAACTGTGTGGTCACTCCGTTGCACGTGTTGTAAGGTTCACTCTAGCTGTCATTTGTTTCCCATCTCGAAATAGCAGAAACTGTATCACCCATGGTCAGCCGTTACAGCTGTTCCTGTAAGAAAAGGATTAGTGGAAACAAAAAACTGCAAATTTTCAGGGTTTTTGTTCTAAACTTCCCTAACTACAGTACTTTAATATGCTTTGATGTTCTTTACCTTGTTTTGAGGACAGGAAAATAAAAGGGATGTGCTTTCCTTCTTCAGACATACTTGGCATATTGGCAGAGCTGCTGGCGATGCTACCTGCACAAACAGATTCCCGTCTTCTCTCTTTCGTTGACGTAACAGCAGCCCCGAGGTTGGCATAAGAAGCCGCCTTTCTCCAGCAGCCCATCGACACCTTTTATTTCCTACCACTTTGCCCAGGAACAGCAGGGTTTGGGGTGTCTGAGTGCCAGGAATAACTATCATTGCCACTTGCATGCCTGCATATGCGCGTGCACACGCACACAGACGCGCGCACACACACACACAGAGTCTGGTGATCAGTATTTTGTTCCTTCCTACTCACCTGGATGACAATTGTTTGATTCTGTCAAGGAAAAGGTTGCAGAGGAAGGCCTAAACATTTGGAAACTAAAAACGCATGTTGTGCTAAATTGGTTCCTTCGAAAAGAGTTTACTGAATCAAGTTTCATATTGTTTATGCGGGAGATTAAGGCGTGGGGAGGGCATGGTAGGGCGCATTCTAAGTTGTACTTCACGAGGTTTGGGGCCTTTATCCCTATGCCTATTTCTCTTTTGTGTTTTTCAGCAAATTACATAAAATTATCAGGCCGGGTTGAACAGAAGAAGGCTGCCGACAAGCTGAAGTCGCCTGAGAAGCCAAGCTCGGAAATGCCCGACCCCCAGCGGGGCAAGGGGGACTGGGGGAAGCCCAAGGCCGCCCCCAGGATGCAGTTCCCAGATTCCCCTCTCTTTCGGCGATGGGGCAAAGACCTAACGGAGGACCAGCAAATCGCAGCACAGGAGCTCTTTACTAAGTATGGGTACAACGTTTACCTCAGCGACCGCTTGCCTCTGGACCGGCCTTTAAAGGACACCAGGCCCCCCAGGTGAGGTGGCCCTCCTTGGCTTACCAAATGGAGGGCAGTGGGCTGAGGCTGGCCACGGAGGGAGGAAAAGCTGGCACGGTGGGCAGATTAGAGGGTTGGAGGGAGAGCTGAATCCAGCAGACTGTGCACACTTTGAAAAGGGGCACGAATTGATGCGTCTCTTCTTAGTGCTGGTTTCCTGCCAGAACTTGAATCTTCTTATGGACCGTTCAGAAGTTCTCTCACCACTTTAATTCTTCAACACCGCTTAGTTTCTGTGCACTGAGTATTCTTAACAGTACAAACAAGTGCAATGATAGCGACGGCTTCCTTTCCACATAGTGGTAAGTCTTGTTCAGTCCAAGGCACTTTTTGAATATATGAACAGATAGTCCAGAAGCTGGCCTTAGGTCTGAGATTTGACCGGGCAACCGCGTCGGCTATTCAGAAAATAGTCTGGCTGAGTGAGAAGCCTCCTGATTTGAATCTGCGCCCAAATCCAAAGTGACTTAGGAAGCCCAGAGATTGGCTACGGGGGTGGGGGTGGGGGGGAGCCACAGATGCCAATATAACGTTATTATGGAATGGGGTGAACCTGCAGTGGATGAACTCTGTCCAAATACACAGAGATGGGGGAGCTGTTTTTCAGCCATGGCCTTTTATACTGCATTTCAAAAAACAGAAAGTACCTATAACTAACTCACTCACTCACTTCTTCTTCTTTTTAAAAAAGCAGAATTAAGACTTGATAGGCTCGTTGACTCCTTTGAGGGGCTTAACCCTGTCACTTTTCAAAGTAAGGCATTTGTGCATGGGGAGATTACAGTTTACAGTGTATTTAATTTTTTTTTTTTTAAGTCCGTTGATTCCTGCTACTGTGCGTACTTTTATGAAAATAGAATAGATTGTAGAACTTTCCCTTGATAATAATCCATCAAACTATAGACCAATCACTGCCCCACCTCGTGGAAATGACCCTTCTGGTGGCAATGAATTGTGCAGCAACTAATGAAAAGGAAAAGCAGTCCATGAGCTTGGTCACACGATTCTCAACTTGAGCAAGAGGTGCCGGCTGGTTGAAGATCAAGCAATGGGAAGATACTGCAGGAGAAGGGGGAGGAAATGGCATGTTTTTTACTAGGTCCTCCTACAATGGGCTTCTTCCTTTCTTCCTTTACTTTCTTAGTTCACTTTGCGACTGCTTTGGTGACCTTATTTCCTCTGTGGTGTTCTTTAGTATCTAATGAATTTATGAACTTTGCTAAATAATCCCAGATATGGTGCAGAAAACTAAGTGCATGAACAAAATCTTCTTCGGGTGATATGGTTGATGTAATCGAATGAGATTTATATTTTCCTATTACTGTAGTTTATTTCTTCATTAATCATCCTTGATAAGCATAGAATCAATAACCTTCAAAATCATGAGGTCACAAAAATAGGTTCAATATACTATTGTAATTAAAAGCTTTAGCCCAGCCATCCAAGAGGGCTCCCTCTGGACACCTGGAGATTAATTCCCAGGATTCCCTGCAATGGCCATCCCCTTGGCTGAGCCAGGAATTCAGTTCTGGCAGCTGAATTCGAAGGACCTGGAGAATTCTTGGGCTGGGGAGGACTGATCCAGACCACGTGGTTCATGCTTCAGCCTCACTGAAATAAGTGGGACAATTTATTTATCACTAACTTAATATCCATGTATTTATGAGGACTGATATTCTGTCTATTATTCAAAGGTCTCTAATGAATAACTGTATAATTATTTTATTATGATTCCTTAGATATCCAAGTTAAATTAGGCATATATCACTAGAAGGAGGCAAAGTCATAAACGTTACATTAGGAAATAACTTAGTATTGCATCATAGAAGGGATTTGTGATCGTATCATCTTCTTCTGGACTTCCCTGAAATTCCCAGGTAGTTCCCCCCTCCAATATTAACTAGGCCAATCCTGTTTAGCTTGTCAGATCAGCCCAGATTGGTTTGGTGCTGCCACCACCAAGGGGGGCAGAAACACATGAATGTGTGGAAACAGAATTACAACAAACTTCAAAGTAGAAGAAAAAGTATATTTATCAACCCTACCAGACGCCTGAACTCATCCTGCCAGCCATTCAACATAACAAATGAGAAGGGAATCAAAGGGATCCATACCAGTGATGCTGTAGTGTGAGCTTCACTGTTTTGGCTGTCTGCTGGATCGCTTCTGCCTTCCTTCTCTGCCTTCTTCACACAGACACCATGAAGAAACTGCTTCTGCCATAACACTGGACTTTATTCTCTTGCTCCCGTGTCTCTCTTATGGTTCTTCAGTTGTATTGTGAAATAATATTCTAATGAATATTCATTTTTCTTGGTTTTCTCCAGATGTCTAAAGAAAGAATATTCACATGATCTCCCAATGCTTAGTGTCATTCTTATATTCTTTAATGAGGCTACTTCCATCATCTTACGTGCAATCACCAGCATAATTAACCGAACACCTTCTCACCTCCTGAAAGAAATTATCCTAATCGATGATTTCAGTTCAAATGGTAAGTAACATGGTCTAAAACCTTTCCATGGGCAAAGTACTCTTCCATGGAACTGGGGATTTCTATGGAAAACTGGATTGCATAGAGACATTCTTCATAGACGTCCAACATTGCTTTCTGTTGGAAGTGCACTACTATACTGTTAGGGAATTGTAACACAACCAACACATCCTCTTTCCACTGAGATCTTTCTACACATCCCTTAAATTATGTTCTCAGGACATGTTCTTTCCAACAGGTGGGCAACTATTCTTGATTGCTGCATACATAGATTAGGAGAACAGGATTCTGTAAAATTGTCCAAATTTGAAATGTTTTCAGTTTGAAAGGGTCATTTCAGGTGTTCTAAGCTCAGGACAAAGTACCTTGTATCCCAGAGTTTTGTTGTAAGCTTGGTCAAAAAGAGATCTTGCATTTTGTGTTGTTTTGAATATGGAGTCCTTGGTGCTCTCTGAGCTTGGTTGTTTGCTTGCAGACATTTCATTATCCAACTAAGTAAACGTCATCAGTGTGACTAAGCTTGGGGTTTGCTCCCTGTTTTTATACAGTAGCTTGCCCTGCTAGTTACAGTAGGAAGGAGGAAGAAATGGTGGATTGACGACGGCTGTGCAAAAAGTGGAGCCGATGACCATGGTGAAGAATGAAGAGCCTGTGACTAGACCGAACCTTCCCAGACAAAGAGAGGATGGGAGATTGCCCACAAGTGCTTCAGACAGTTGCTCCTCACAATGAGACTGCAAGACAGTGGTCTCTGACAGGTTTTGAGCATTGGGAGATGAGGAAATAGCCATTGTGCTCAAACTGCAGTCAGTGACTTTAAAAGGACACTAAGTTTGCATACTTCCTTTTCTAATCATATTCAGAAATTGCTTATTAACTATTTTTCAGCTATTAGAAACCTTTAGATCAACAAGTCTGAAAACTCTGGGTGAGTCTGCCTTCAATCCTTAATGAAAGAAAATTTAAACTACAAGCTTAAGCACTTTAAAGAAATGAAATAAACAGCAAAAAGCTAATTAAGACTTTGATTTTAGAAAGTTATAAATGGATT